GTCTCCTCTCTCAATTTACAGTCATTCAAATAATAATCTGCATCTCTATTTTTGTTACTAAAGTGGAAAACCTCACGTTTATTCACACTAAACTGCAACTGCCATACATTTGCCCACTCACTCAGTCTGTGCAAATCACGCTGCAACACCTCTGCACCCCCTTCACAGTTCACCCTCCCACCTGGCTTTGTGACATCTGCAAATTTTGAGATTTTCCGTTTAGGTTCCTCATTAAAATCAGTGATACATATTGTGAAAGCTAGGGTCCTCATACCAAACCCTGCTGTACCCCACTAGTCACTGCCTGTCATTCAGAAAAAGACCTCTTTATTCCTACTCTTTGTTTCCTATCTGCCAATCAGTTTTCTATCCATCTCAATACACTACTCCCAATCTCATGCACTTTAATTTTAAACTTTAATCTCTTCTATGGGATCTAGTTGAAGGCCTTCTGAAGTCTAAATAAACCACATACATTGGCTCCCTCTCATCAACTCTACTAACTACATCCTCAAAGGATTGTGGTAAATTTGGAATACTTCCAATTTTCAGGTTATTTTTGGAGGCTTCAGGACATTGTGGAAATTCTAAGTCTTCTCGAGGTACCTTTTGTGATACAGTGTTGGTTGTGCTCTAGCATTGCCCATGTTTTACTTTAGGGTCATTAAGAAGGTCCTGCTCACTGCTGAGTATCCCACATGGAGCTAACCCTGATAGAACACCCTCCACTGGAAACTGACTAGGGTTATGATGGAAGAGGGTTGATTAGTGGAAGTTTGGCCAAACTTTATAACAGCAGGCTCAGGAACAGGCACACCTGTCTGTCTCAGGTCACAGGAGAAGGAAAAGCCACCTGAGTGAAGTACCAGATGATGCTTGTGCCTGAAGAGCTGTGCCTTAACATGCTTCACCCACCTTCAAGACAGAAAAAAAAATATTATTATAGAAGGAGAAGCAAAACAATTTTAATACACATTTCAGCCTGTATAGAAACAACTTGACCTAACCTTTTGTTAGATAACCTCGTAGGAAACTTTCATTTCCAAGGAGCAAAAATTAGAAAGAGGATGAAGACCCATGTTTCCAGAGCTCCACACTCTTCGTGTTGTCCATTGGTTTCTCAGTTTTCAAGACAATACAAGAGCATCATAATCATAATAGTTCATTCGGCAGGGAGCTGGTAATGCTGAGCTGTTGCCTCAGTTTCTTTTCTCAAACCTCATTAGTTACACAATTAAAAGGGCTGGAGCTAGATTTGGAGCCACTGGAAGCTCTGCAGAGATGCAGGAGGCAGCCTGAAGGAGGTTGCCCCAGGGTTATCTTAGAACCAGAAAGCCCCAAAGATGTGAAACACGTTTTAAGTGGCTTGTGGTTACTCACAATCCCCCACCCCCTTATGCTGGGCCCTGTCAGGATTGGTATATGCAATAATTGAAACATAGGCACATTTATGTCAAGACAGCAGGGATCTGGAACACCGATCCCTAATTTTGTCCCAGAATAGCTATGAAATAAGGCTTAGCCAAGTAGGTTTGAAAATAAGATCAAAAGAATAGCATGATGATTATACAATGAATGATGTTTTGTTGCCATGTATGAACTGTTTAATTTGAAGATATTATGGCTTTTTTTTATTAATATCATCTTAATATATCATTTCTAAAAATAAATAAATAACTTGAGTGATTGAATTCCTGAAGATTTGTTTGGTGGAAGATTCAGGGAATATTGGTTCTCCTGAGTCAGCACTGCACCTGTGCTGATGTAGATGAGGAAATGGGAAAGATGGTGTTGGAAGAATTGTTGCACAGCATGGGGTTTTGGGCCTGAGGAGGGTGAGCTCACCCAGTGAAGATGGGTGGCCTCTTTGGCCTGATTCATTCCAGAGCAGAGGAAATAGCAGGATTTTAAGGCTGGCCGAGAGGCTGGCACTGAACCGTGTCTAACTGAGCTCAGAGAGCTGCCCAAACTGCACATTCTGCTTCATTTCTACTGTTTTCAATTTACCAGCAGACATCTTTGAAGATCATGGCCACATTATGATACCATTGGCAGTATTTGTGCTGGGAATGAGAATGAAGACCTAAAACTCGTTTATTTTATTTGGCTGTGAAAGTTGGTGTGGCTCTCCAGTATTGCTAATGTAAATCTCTTTTTGTTTTTGGTTATGCATGACAATTTTACCCAGAGTGAACTTCCAGACTGAGTCTGGATTTTTTTTTATTCACGGGACCATTGCTGGCTGACCAGCATTTCTTGCCCATCCCTAGTTGCCCTTGAGAATGTGGTGGTGAACTGCCTTTTTGAACCATTACAGTCCACCTGCTGTGGGTTGACCCACTATGCAATTAGGGAGGGAATTCTAGGATTTTGACCCAGCAATAGTGAAGGAATGATGATATATTTCCAAGTCAGGATGGTGAGTAGCTTGGAGGGAAACTTGAAGGTGGTGATGTTCCCATATATCTGCTGCCCTTTTCCTTCTCGATGAAAGTGGTTGTGAGTTTGGAAGGTGCTGACTGAGGATCTTTGGTCATGATATGTTACATGTGAGATCACAGCAATACTAGGAGGGATGGGAAATAAACATGTAAAGATGTCCTAGTGAAAAATGCAACGTAATTCCCTTGTGAGTAAAGCTGACTGGATATCTTATTGGTGATTATATTGTGTAAGTTATGCTCAGCTTTATACATGGACAATATTTATCACGTTATTTTGAACAAAAACATTTCCTGATTATCCTTGCTTTTAAAATAATTAAAATTTATGTTTTTAATTATCTATTAGTTTTAATGAAAAATATTACAAATTTGGGAGCCACTGAGCTTTTGCCCTTCACCTCCTTTTGAAATGTGCTCTCAATTAATCCTTTAGGCCAAACTTAATATTAAATTTAATTGCTGCAATGCTGATTTCAATTTCTCATTCCGAAGTCTACCAAATTATCAAAAACTGAAACAATGAGATGGGAATTAAAATGAAAAAAAAATTATTGGAAAGTGTGAGAACTATTGGGAGCAGCAAAGAGTTAATTGGTCCAATATACTTGTCTCTTTACCACCGTAGTCCCACTGTAGCATCATGGTGGTGGTTCAACCTGAGGGTCACCACGCCTCAGGTGAAAGGAGAGGTTGGGAGGGAGACTCCTTCATTGTAACCTCAACCAGTTTGGTAACTGAACCCACTCTCTTAGCTATTACAAGGGGACATAGTTTTAAAGTGAGTGGAGGTAGATATAGGGGAGATGTCAGAGATAGGTTCTTTACTCAGAGAGTAGTAGGGGCGTGGAAAGCATTTAGGAGAGGGTAGTGGAGTCCGCCTCATTAGGGGCATTTAAGCGGCTTTAGATAGGCATATGGATGATAGTATAAGGTAGGGGTGGAGGTTATATAGACCTTAGGTTTAGGGTAAGAGTTTGGCACAACATCGTGGGCCGAAGGGCCTGTACTGTTCTCTGTTCTATGTTCTATGCATGTTGGTGTCACTCTGCAATGTCAACCAGTTGACCAGAAAACTGGACGAACCAACTCCAACTTGCACATTTAAGCTTCAGGTTGTGTTGTGCCTTTCATAGTACATTGTATTTGATTTTCATCAAAATCCAGATCATATATGTTGATCAAATACAAAGTTCCATAACCTAGTTGGAAGCCATACTGGATTTCAAGAGCGATTTCCTCAGATACTGGGAGAAGGCACCCAGCGAGGATTCAAGTGATGATCTTCCCAGTGATGGAGAGCAGGGAGATTCCTCAGTAATTCCTACAGGACACTAGGTCTCCTTTCTTGAAGGTAGTGGCAATGGCAGTATCCCTGAGACTGACAGGGATTTCTTCTTTGTCCCAGAATTTCAGGAACAGTTGATGGAGATGAGGGCAAGCTCTTGTGTTTTCAAGTCTGAAAATCTCCACTGGAATCCCTGTGGGTGGATATAAAATAAAGCAAATAAAGGCCAATTAAGGAGACATAAAGGTTTGGCAGAGGCAGTGGCACTGTCAGTTAGTTCTGCAGGGTGAAAAGAAAGAACTAAAATAAAACAAACTTTAACATATTCAATGGAGTTGAGGACAAAAATGGCCAACATAGGAACAGGAGTAGGCTATTCAGTCCCTTGAGCCTGTTCCACCATGCAATGAGATCATGGCTAATCTGTGGCCTAACTCCATATGCCTGCCTTTGGGCTCTATCCTTTAATACCTTTGCTTAATAAAACCTTATCTATCTCAGATTTAAAATTCACAACTGAACCACCATCCACTGCTGTTTGTGGAAGAGAGTTTCAAAACTTCTCCCACCCTTTGTGTGTAGAAGTGCTTCCGAACATCTCTCCTGAACGCTCTGGTCCTAACTCTCAGACTATGCCCCTAGCTCTAGAATCCCCATCCAATGGAAATAACTTATCTCTGTGTACCCTGTCAATTCCTGTTATTATCTTGAAAACTTTGATCAGATCACCCCTTAACTTTCTACACTGTAGAGTGAACAGGTTTAATTTGTATAATCTCTCCTCATAACTTAACCCTTAAAATCCAGGTATCACTCTTGTAAACCTACATTGTACTCTCTCTCGAAGGCCAATAAATATATCCTTCTGAAGCGTGGTGCCCAGATCTGTTCACAGCACTCGAAGTGGCGTCTAACCCAAAGTTTACATAACTACAACATAACCTCTGCATCCGCATACTCCAGTCCTCAAGATATAAAGGCCAACATTCCACTAGCTTTCTTGACTATTTTCTGTACCTGCTCATGGCATTTTAAAAATCTATGCAACTTGAACCCCTGAGTATCTTTTGACATCCATTGTATTTAACTTCATACTATCTAGAAAGTATCCTGATTTATCCCTTATTAGTCCAAAATGGACAGTCTCACACTTCCTGACATTGAACTCCATTTGCCACAGTTTTGCCCATACACCTAGTCTATCATTTTCCCTTTGCAATTGTATGCTACCATCCATACACACAGTAATTTTAGTCAAAAACACAATAAAATGCACTTAAATATACTTACAGCATTTAATTTAGTGTTCCTAATTTGTTTTGGAAATCTAGACTTATTCAGACATCCAGTTTGTTTTGACGGTAAATTAAACAAAAAGATAAAAAGTACATATATTATACCATTTCACATACTAAGGTTATGGTTACATGCAGTTGTAGGAGTGCACATGATTCTTGGGCTGAAAATTAGTTACATCACAGCTGCCGCCTAAAAAGCTCATGGGAAAATAAGACCCTGATTTATGCTCAATACCCTCACAAGTGTGAATCGGAAGTCTGTTTGGCATTTAGCTAGCACCATTCCCTATGTCAGGGTGTCCCAAAATGTATTACAGCTAATGAAACCGAGTCACTGTAGGAAACATTAACGTAGTTTGTATTATTTACATTTTCCAAAGGACCTGTCTCATCTGTTGTCCCGGATATCCTGCTCTCAGTGGCCATGACAAAGTGACACAATTACCCAATTGATCGCAAATGTGCTGCTGTGACATGCTTTTCAATTGGTGTCCTTAACTTCTTTGAATCTTAAGATTGGATTAGCCTTGGTCAATTTTGCCATTACTAGACCTATCTGAGGTCAAAGTATCCACTGAAAAGAGCAGTGCTCCTAACCTTTGATCACCTTCTGTTGTACAGGTTTTATTGTTATGTGGTGCTGGTAAATTAAACTGCAGTAAGCCATGCGCTGAGGCACCAGCAGCTGCTTGAGCGAGCTGTTGTGTTTCAAGTCCACTCAGCCGCGCTTCTTTCTCTTTCAAAGTCTTTTCCAGAAGGCATATCTTTTCTTGTTGCTGTGACAACTGACTTGACAGTTCAAGAACAAGACGTACTCGATTTTCACCTCCAGAACTGAGCTCAGGATATTCAATGCCATCACTGCTAATACCTTCTTTGAAATGCTTGTTGTTGAATCTTTGTTCTGTAAAATGAATGAAAATATAATAGTAATCCATTGTTCACATTTTCAATATGTTAATGCATCATTTTATGATTCAATGCTGTTGACAACGACCCTCAACCCCCAGCAACATGGACTTCCCTTACATGTCCTCAGTTGCTGTCATACTGTTGGGCTCCAGGGCCCTAGACAGGATCTGTGCAGTTATGGCAGGGTGACACAGAATGTAAAAAACTTATTGCTAACTCCTCTGGAGTTCATGGAGCCATGGGAAAGACCTCAAAGTAGTGAGCTTTTGTTGGCATAGGGAGAAATGGACATAGCCCCCCAGCCAGAAAAGCTGAAATGCAGATGTAAAATGGTAGGTCTCAGAGGAAGAGGCGAGTCACTACAGATTATATCAATGGTACTGCATTAAAAAGGTTTAATCAAAAACATCCTCTCTGGTAGTCCAGATCTCAACCTCAGGTTGAACCGATAAGTTGTTTCACTTGAGGTAAGGTGTGCCTAGCAATACCAAATGTATATGAAATGCAGATGATCTCTACTGTAGACCAAAGAGCAGGAACACCCAACCTAGTGAACTCCTTGACTCCAGCCCTATGAGCTGTTCCTCTGGATTTCTGTCAGAGGTATGGTGGGCATTGCTGAAATGGCTACAGATTTTCAGCCTTTAAGTGTATATATTTCGGTTTCTTTTCTCTTGCCTGCTTCACTCCTGATGTGGCAGGAATTTCTGCAGGAGGTCCTCAGGGTACTGTCCTCATGCTGCTTCATCAATGATCTTCCCTCCATCATAAGGTCAGAAGAGGGGACATTCACTGATGATTGCACAATGTTTAGCACTATTCGTGACTCCTCAGATACTGAAGCAGTCCGTGTTCAAATGCAGAAAGGTCTGGACAATATCCAGGTTTGGGCTGAAAACTGGCAAGTAACATTCACACCATTCAAGTATCAGACAATGATCATTTCAAACAGAGAATACAACTGCACTCCTTGACTTTCAAAAGCATTACCATCACTGAATCTCCCACTATAAACAGCTTGGAAGTTACCATTGACCAGAAACTCAACACAACTCACCATATAAATACAATGGTTACAAGAACAGGTTGAAGTCTGGGGACCCTGCAGTGATTAACTCACCTCCCAACTCCCCAGCAACACTCAAAAAGCTTGACACCATCCAGGACAAAGCAGCCCGCTTAATTGGCACCACATCCTAAACATCCACCCCTCCACCACCGACGCTCAGTAGCAGCAGCGTGTACTATCTACAAGATGCACTGCAGAAACTCACCAAAGATCCTCAGACAGCACCTTCCAAACCCATGACCACTTCCATCTAGAAGGACAAGGGCAGCAGATACATGGGAACAGCACGCCCTGCAAGTTCCCCTCCAAGTCACTCACCATCCTGACTTGGAAATATAATGCTGTTCCTTCACTGTCGCTGGATCAAATTCTTGTAACTCCCTAAATTAAAAACTAAAAGAACTGCAAATACTGTAAATCAGAAACAAAAACAGAAATTGCTGGAAAAGCTCAGCAGGTCTGGCAACATGTGTGGAGAGAAATCAGTGTTAATGTTTTGGGTCAAGTGACCCTTCCTCAGAACAGATTGGAGCTTTACCAGCAATTTCTGTTTTTGTTTCTTGTAACTCCCTCTTTAATTGCATTTTTTATCTAATGCAGTAACTGGGCAGCAGTAGTTCAATATTCAGTTCATCACCTTCTCAAGTCGACTCAAAATGGGCAATTAATGTTGGTCTAGCCAGCATTGGAATTTTTAGAAACTACCAAAAGGGCTCCAGATTTTTTGGTCTGTATTTACAGATATATATTATTTATTTTATTTTGTCTTTCCTCTCCACTCCTGAAAACATTCTGTCAGGGCAGTGTTCCATAAATTCCTTAAACTGTTCAGTAGCAGCGTGAAATGGTCACTGATGGAGTCCACACAACAATGAAAAGCTATTTGATTATGGGAAGCAACACATTTGATGCTGATCCAATATCCACAACAATGTATGCTCACCAACTGGTATCACCAGTCACCACTCAGCTGTGGAAATCCCCACTGATAGAGCTCTTGTCCTGTCCTGGGATACTGAGGTCAAATAGACTAGGCACCTTGTCTTGCACTAACTCAGAAAGTGTCGGCATGTGTCTTTTTTTTATTGTTCATTCACGGGATAAGGGCATCACTGGCTAGGCAGCATTTATTGCCCAGAGGGCAGTTAAGAGTCAACCACATTGCTGTGGGTCTGGAGTCTTTCTCATCAGGTGGTGTATTTACCCAGCATGTCTTTGTGAGATAACTTGCGCAGGCATTAAGTTTGAGATGCTCTACGAGTATTATTGCCCACATATCCTGCCTCACTGTTTCCTGATGCAATTTTCCATCTCCTCTGTCCCTGCGACCACGTTACGTCAAGTGTCCGCAAATCAAAGACAAACTGCAAATTAAACGTATGATTGCGTATGGAGAGAAACAAAATAACTAAAAGGCAACAGGCGTGACAGGGAAGAGCAGTTCATGAGAGTGAGGTAAAACCAATTCTTGGCAATGATACAAGACTATAATTGTTAGGAAGCGGTATAGATAATCCAAACAATTATGAGTAAAAGTTCAGAGATGCAGAGATATTCTCATTCAAACCATATCCTAAATATAGCTACTTTTCAGATTGTTTTTCCCATAAGTTACACAGTTATTCAGTTGAATTCCTTGTTGATGTAAATGGATTTAAAATTGATGCTCAATTTGTGTCAGACACTTTTGTTACTTTTATATTCATGTGTTTTCTGAAAGCTTTAAATGAAAAAAAAATATTCACAACTTCACAAAAATGCTTTTCAGCTTCTGAAAGAGTCTGTTACCAATTTTGTTATGTAGGGAATTCTGGAACTCAATTTGCACTTCGCAAGATTCACAAACCAAAAAGGAGAGATGTTGGGTGCTTGTACACTCTTAAGGTTTCAAAATTGTCTTTCCAGCGCGCACACACACATTTCTGATGAAAAAATATGCTGGATGCTATATCGCTAAAGGGGAGTAGGCAAATCATGATAACGAACAACTTGTGAAATTGATCTGCTGCCAGTGATGCTACTTTAGAGTGAAGTGCTTTAACCTGTATTCCCTCTTATCCTCGTTCAACTGAACATGTACTCAGATAGCTCTGATCTAATCTTCATCTCCATCACTATTTAAAGAGCTCATCAAATACCTTAAAATTACTGTAGGCACTGAAAATCTACTCACACTATCTGTGCTTATCTATTGATATCCTTAACCACCTGGAATTAACTTGCCATTATCTCTCCATCTATATAATCTGAGGCTGTGTGTCTCCCTCCACTTCACCTGACAATGGAGCAGTGGTCCAAAAGCTTGTGATTTTAAATAAACCTATTGGACTTGGAGATAGTAGGAACTGCAGATGCTGGAGAATCCGAGACAACAAGGTGCAGGGCTGGATGAACACAGCAGGCCAAGCAGCATCATAGGAGCAGAGAGGCTGACGTTTCGGGCCTAGACCCTTCATCAGAAAAGGGGGAGGGGAAGGGGGTTTTGAAATAAATAGGGAGAGAGTGGGAGGCGGATAGAAGAGGGATAGAGGAGAGGATAGGTGGAGAGGAAACAAACAGGTCGAAGAGGCGGGGATGGAGCCAGGAAAGGTGAGTGTAGGTAGGGAGTTAGGAAGGGGATAGGTCAGTCCAGGGAGGACGGACAGGTCAAGGGGGCGGGATGAGGTTGGTCGGTAGGAGATGGAGGTGCGGCTTGAGGTGGGGGGAGGTGATAGGTGGGAGGAAGAACAGGTTAGGGAGGCAGGGACGAGCTGGACTGGTTTTGGGATGCGGTAGGGGAAGGGGAGATTTTGAAACTTGTGAAACCCCCATCCCAGGCCCCAAGAAGACTTTCCACATCAAGCAGATGTTCACTGCACATCTGTCAATGTGGTATACTGCATCCGCTGTACCCGGTGTGGCTTCCTCTACATTGGGGAAACCAAGCGGAGGCTCGGGGACCACTTTGCAGAACACCTACGCTATATATGACCTATAATATGACCTATAATCTGATTAAATGAGGCAGTGAGATAATTACAAAAATTTTAAAAAAAAAGGTGGTACTGGAGACAACTCAAATGTCTGGAATAACATGTTAGGTTTAAAAGTCACATGATGAGGAATGTCTCCTGCAGCCATCAGGTACAAGTATCTGACTGGACATCAACACAGAACCAATCTGTAAGCATGGGCTTTTTCTGGAGTGGAGCTCAAACCCTGCCCCACCTGACTCAGCAGCAAGCATAACGGGTATGTCAAAAGCATATTCCACCTTGGTGTTCAACACTTCATCAATTCTATGTATGAACCAGCTATACAACATGGAAACATACTTTCATGAAAAACTTCAGTGATAAAAGTAATTGTGTAATTTAAGAAACGCAATGATACTTGGAGGTGGGGGAAAGGATAGTTTATGTCAAGGATTACTCAAGATATTGTTTTAACTTTATAAGAGTGCTGATTCAATATCTATGTTATCATTTATTGTTCTCAGTTATATTTAATTTAAAAGAAAACACAGTCTCTGCCTTCATTCGCTTAGTTGTTGTTGAAAAACATTGTGACCAATAATGCCCTGTAATCAAATCAGAGTTCACGACCTGGCAGAAAGTCATTTATAGTAGTGGTTTCCATGACCGAAGCCAGTGCTGGTTTTAAATTAGAAACAAAGGAAAAGAGTCAACAGACCGCAAAACATCATATACAGAGACAGTTAATCACGGGATGCATTTACCAACCCAGTCATGCAGAAAGCTGTGGAACTGGTTCAGACACTTCACAAGGCATTGTATCCACTGCTCCTAAACAGTGTTGACTACACTTAGTCCTTGCTCCTCTGAACAGGTACTGACCAAACTCAAGGACTATGGATATCAATTCCCTCCAAATAGCAGTTTGTTATGCCTGTTTGGAAATTCATGATCACAACAGGCACTCTG